TTCATCAGTTGAGGTTTGTCTCCTTGAATTAAAAACAGCTTCCTCTCTGCTACCTGGACATCACTCAGACAATCCAATTTATCTGTCAGTTATACAAAATATACACAGTGAGTACCCACACAATTGTATACACTCAGTCAGGGTTTCCCACAAAGCATGTTAAGTGAGCTAAACAGCATGAACTTCAAGCACTACAATACAGTACATGACATTTGAAGCAACTTTTAAAATTCATAAAATATCCAAACTTGATCAGAATCAGCTTGAAGTTGATAAACAACATAAAACACTGGTAAAAATGAAATGGTTAAAATACCCCATGGTGGGTTACCCTAGTTGAACTTTAACCCACAAAACGGGTTAATGTGCAACCAGGGTAACTCACCACTGGGTATTTTAACCATTTCATTTTTACAGTGAAGAACATGTGTATCAGAGAAAATTATACACATGTAAAAATGAAGAATTCTCTCCAAGCCATTTTTGATGAAGGACCAAAGTATAGTTGTTGTCCCAATTTTATTTGAGTAGGGCAGGCATTCAAGAAAATACGGTATATGTATCAGATAAAATGACAAGAAGCTACATGAGAACTGTCAGGAAACCCTGTACTCAGTCAGTCACACAATAATACTCTTACCCATTGAAGGGATCAGGTAATTAAATTGTAGTCCAATGGAACTAGTCTCTTTGCTTCTTTCCTTCACTAGTTTGGCTATGTACAAGTCCTTTTCTTTAAGGTCTATAAATTAATAGAATATTAATAATTATTAATGACTGATGATGATACACTAACCAGTAATGATCTGTTTCTCATTCTGTGATTGTTCCTCTACTTGTGATGTCAGTTTGGCTATAACTTTGTCTTTCTCAGAAATGTCAGTTTTGAGATTTTGAACGTCGTCTACACAATAAACATAATATTTTCTAATCTAATACATGCTGTGTGTATAGTTAACTAACCAATAATGATCTGTTTCTCCTTGAGATATTGTTCCTCCATATCAGCTACTTTGAGTTTCAGTTTCTCATAATCTTCAACATTAATAGGATGTTCTTGAAATTGGTGTTGTGCTTGTTGAAGCTGTCGCTGAAGATCCTGGACTTGTTTTCTGGCCTGCCTCTCTCTTTCTTGTCCTTGTTGCTGTGCTTGTTGAAGTTGTCGTTCTCTTCCTTGAAGTTGTTGCTGTAGTCTGTTTCTAACTTGTTCCTTTTCTCTTCTCTCCTCCTGTAGTTCCCTTTCCCTTTCTTGTAGTACACGTGTC